TGTGAAAGCTATATACATATATACGTATATGTCTGTGTTTTTGTATATTACAAAAAATTACAATATATAATGATAATTTGTTTTGTATACAGGTTGTTGTCTTACTCTGTTTGCAAATAAGCATGAATACAAAAAAAAGTTATACTGTTATATTTAAGCTTGAAGTTATCTTATATACAGAAACTACTTCTACTCATGGTACTGCTTTATATTACAAAATTGATTGAAAATGAGTTCAAGAATGGAGAAAGCAAAAGAAAGAGCTTGAAACTATGAAAGACAATAAAAATTTAAATACTAATTAGGTATAGGTTCTCAAAGGCTGTAGTCAGAAAATAACATACCCTGCATTAGAAGAAGAGTTGTTGGAGTTTATCAAAAAAAGAAAAGAAGAAAAAAGAATGGTCACAACCTTTATGATTATAAAAAAAGCCAAAGATTTGGGCAAAACCATAGATATTAGCAATATGAAGTTTTCTCGTGATTGGGCTAAACGTTTCAAGCAATAGTATAAATTAGTTCAACGTATCAAGACACAAGTAGCACAAAAAATCCTAAGGATATTCTTTTAATAGTTAAAAATTTTTTTAAAACTTCATATGAAAAAATGTATAATATTAAAAAAAAAATATTTTATCTTTTGATAAAACCCCAATGTGGTTCGATATATTACGAAACTTAACAATTAAATTCGAAGATATTTGTTAAGTGCTTGTTAAAACTACAGGAAGTGACAAACTACGTTTTACAGTTGTTCTGGGCTATACTGCTGCTAGGAAAAGCTCTTGTTAACCATAATCTTCAAACTAAAAAAAAACCTAAAAGAAGATTTTCTTAGAATATCATAGTAACAACAGCATTCTTAGCAAATATGACCGGTGATTTATTAATTTTTATTTATATTCCTCATGTCATTAAAGCAAGACCAAATAGCTTTTTTAAAAACAAAAGTATAATTTTTGTAGATATACATTGTAATCATACCTGTGATGATATTACTAAGACGTTAAAGGCAGAAGGTTTAGATATTATAGAAATATCTAGTGGGACGACTAGTATTCTGCAACTCTAGATGTTTCAATCAACAAGCCTTTTAAAGATGCGATAAAAAGAAGGTAGGAAGAATAGATGGATAAAGGAAGAAAACAATATACAAAAAAAGGAAACCAAAAAAAAACACCATATGTGCAAGTTTGTGAATGGGTGTCTGAAACTTGAAAAGAGATTAATCCAAATATTTTAGTTAAATCTTTTGAAACAATAGGGCTTATGCTTAACCCCAATAGTAGCAAAGATGAAAAAATGTCAAGCTACCTCAAGGCTATTATTGAAAATTGTCTGGATGAGTTACCAATAGAAGAAGATATGCTAGTGTTATTAATTTTTTGTTTTATTGATAAAAATTATATTCTATTCTATTCTAATTTTTATAGTTCTATTCTATTATTTTATTGTTCTATTCATCTATTCATCTATTGCTATCAATAGTAAGTATGCTTTTAGAAGATATATCAAATAATGATAGTAGTCTTTTTGTATCAGATAATAATAAGTCAGATGATAGTGAATTGGATAACAGTGAATTGGATTATGATGAAAATGCTATAGATACTATGGATAATTATGATGAAAATACTATAGATATAAATAACAAAGAAATGCAAATGTGTGAGGTAATGAAAATTGATTAGTAATAGAATTAACAGAATAAATATATCACTTAATAATACTATAGCTATGCTGATATTTATACCAAAACTTTGATTGAAGATATCTCAGCAATCACTTGACCAAAATCGATCAACTTTTTTTATTTAAATTCTACAGATCTGTAGAATTTAAATAAAAAAAAGTTTATTGATTTTGGTCAAGTGGTTACTAAGATATCTTCGATCAAAGTTTTGGAAAATTTTAAACCATTGTTATAGAACAGTTTATTATTTTATTAGTTTATTATTCCGATATTGTATTTTATTATTTATTTTATTATTATT